GCCCCCCCCCCCCTTCGACTCACTCTCGATCTGCCACTGCTACCTCATATTTCGGCAGAATTATACGTAAGATTTGTGTGTGACGTTTTCAGGAATTTTATTCGAAGGGCAAATGGATTACTTTTAGCAAAAAGGAACCAGCGCGATTATAGTGTTTTCACAATCGTGCGACTTCTTTTTTTCTCATAAAAATACTCAATATTATGTACAATATTACAATTTTCACTATTATTTTCCTTTAAAATTAACAATTTTTTGGTGGGAAGTAAAAGTCATTTGTTATTCTGGGAATTTCGTAAAAAAATTATAAAGATTTAACATTCTTACAACACTGTAATGGCGCTGGTTCCTTTTTGCTAAATGCGATCCAAATGAAGTATCACATTAAAGTTTGTGCCATCATTTTAACAAATGCATCAGACAAATTAGTTAGTTAGTTAGTTATTATAATTTTGAGACATTCAGCGACTCAGGCTATTAACGTCTTTACAGGTAATTTTGAAAATATATAGGAGTATAAACGAAAATTTAGATTTTTAAATTAAGAGAGGTAAAGAGTTTCAGAATTTTGGTGGCAATATTAGGTTCATCGCATGTAAGAGGGTTTGTATTTCTGTTGAATGAAGGGGAGTAGATCTGTGATTGGTGATGTCGGAGGGAAGAGCAGTCCATAAGTATGTGTTTGATGGTTAGAGGTGATGAATTGCAGAAGTGGCAGGTGGGTTGGTTTTCTTTAGATATGATATGATAGTGAGTGAAAAAAGTGTGACCTATCCTGAGACGCGCAATTTGGACTTCACATGATCTTGATTTGTGGTTAGATGTTCTTGGATATGGCATGGGGGCTCTACGGAGACGATTCTGTTCACTTGTGCTCCATTCTTGTTCCCACGATTTTGTGATAAGTTCGCACATAGCTTTTTTAGCATCTTGCTGAGTGAATGGATGGTGAGTGATGTTCTGCAAAGAGCATGCTTCAGTGGCTGCTCTGTCCGCTGTTTCGTTTCCCAGAATTCCTATATGAGCCGGTACCCAGATAAAAGAGGTGGAGTGGCCATTGGCCAATAAGGAATGAACAGTATCATGGATTAACATTGAAAAGGGATGATTAGTAGGGTTGTATTTCAAGGTGCGGAGTGAGGAAAGAGAGTCAGAGCATATGACGTAATTGATGGTATCATTGTTACAGGAACTAAGTTCTTGTACATATCTAATTGCTTCGAGAATAGCCAGCATCTCAGCTGTGAAAATAGAATTTAACGGAGATAATTTTTGTTTTAGGATAAAATTATTTGATGTATCTACGAATGCTAATCCTACTGATGTTTCTTGTTTAGAACCATCTGTGAAAATTTGTTTGTAATCAGGGAAGTTTTGACATAAAAGTTGATTTAGTCGTTCCTTGTAAAATGTACTTGATGTGTTTCCTTTCTGATAGACAGCTAGGTCCAAATTGACAGTATCGATATTGTACATCCACGGGGGGCAGGAAAGGGTTTCATTTGGAGAAAGTTGTAGTTGATCGAGGCTGTATTTTGTTTTCAATTTATCAATCAGCTGCTTAGTGACATAAGAAATAGGTTTAACAGTAATTAGTGCTGAATGCAGAATGTAAACTATGTGTAAACGAATGAATTGAAAGAAAAAGCGCAATGTAACACCCAACATGCATGTATCTATACCCTGGTAAAAATTGGCAGTAGAATCTGTGTTCCAAAATACCCTAGACCTACAGCCGGCTGTAAGATTTCCAATAGCTTCTATAGCTGGCTGCACAATTTCCTATAGCCTTTTGTAGCCGATGGCGACTAAGCAACAGCCAGGCGATGAAGTGTATGCTAAACGTTACTTACGGATGCTAGGACTTAGTGAGTTTTTGGACTATTGCTCTCTTTTTAGACCGAAGTATCTTGATTTATTTTGCGAGGAAAGCTCCGTACTTTTGATGGATGCCTGCCATTCCTAATAGATTAGAGCGCCTTCAGTTTCGTATGATACTGTGCAATACCTCTGGTGTGAAATAGTTGCTTCAAGCGCCGTGGCACGCTGCAGCGCATTGGCGCCTACAAACCTAACAGGGATACTTCACGCGTTGCGCAATGCGTGAAGTATCCCTGTTAGGTTTGCAGGCGCCAGTGCGTCGCCGCTCCGCTTTGTGTTAGGCTCTAATATTTAATCTGGTGGAGTCAGCGTTATTCAACTCATGATTTTGAAATGTTTGCACATCCTGTATTGTTTATTCTCATTTTAATTGATGGAAAAAAATATGTATTAAAGGAAAATATAACGTGTGTTTTGTAAAGATTAAGGTGGCTCCGTATCAAACTTAATGATCTCCAAAGCACACGAATTTCTACACAATTTCTTATAGCCTTTTATAATCGATGGCGAAAAAGCAACAGCCAGGCGATAAAGTGTAAAGCCCGGCGATAGGAACTATATCCCGGCTGCATAATTTTTTATCGCTTCGTATAGCCCGGCCGTATGATTTTCTACGCATTCTACAGCCAGCAATATGATTTTCTGTAACCTTCTTTAGCCAGCTATAAGAATTCCTATGGTATTTTGAAACGCAGCTCTTATCGCCAATTGTTACCGGGGTAGTTTCTAATTTATTTAATTGTTTTTTACGTTGTTTGTTATTTCAGCAGAAGTGCATCCAAGTGCAACGGATAATCTATAGCACTGCTTTCGACAATCACGGTTTTGCATGATTTGATCATTATTGCCCCAAAAAACCTTTAAGTTTTTGAGATTATAGAGGATTTTTTTTTTTTTTTGAGAGTTTAAAAGTCAAAATTAAATTTTTCTGTACTTGATTCCGCTGTACTCAACATTGCAACTAGGACTGAGAAAGGAGGTAAGACCCGGTATCCACTATGAACATTAAAAAACACCGAGTCATTTTTCTCTGTGGACTATACTGTCCCTGTCCCCCCAAACGTGATCGACTCAACTTTATATGGAAAATCATGTGTTTCATTGTTTTTTTTAAGATATTTTTCATGCTGATGAAAGCTGTATTATCGAGTACGTTCATTATCAAAAGCATCTACGTGTTCAACTTGGCATTTAATTGTTCACTATCATTCTCATCCACACAGATGCAAATATTTGTGTTCTTGTGTTACTTGTGGCTAATGTAGGAGGTGAAACACAAACCAACACAAAGAGCTTCATGCAAAAACGGCTTTTTTCGCCCCCCCCTCTGGAATTTCTTCAGACTTTGTCTATTGATTACTCATACTTGAGCGCTTCTTCTCCCAAATTTTCAGACCCCCAAAAAATTTTGGGGGGAGCTGGGGGGGGGGTGGAAGTCAAAACCTGTGAACCTCGATATCTCTCGAACGAAGAAAGATATCGAGGTCCGGTTTGGACGAAAAATCGTCTAAAATTGCAAACTTTAATATTCTAAAGGTCGAAATCCCGATATCACATTTTTAAGTCAACATATGTGCTTTTTTTCCAGTTTTTAGGTCTAGAAAATTTCTTTTAAACGAGAATTTGCATCAAGCTCTTTGTGTTGAATATGGTACAGTTGGCGCAGAAAACAATGGAGAGACTGGAAAAATGCATTCTCCCGATTGTGACGTTGGTATTCATCAGTGGCAAGCCTTGACTATCGATTATCGATATTTCCCCATTTGAAGCTATGGTAGAGAATCGATTAGTAAGGTGTTCGCTGCGAACACCCTGTTTATCAATCCTTTTCTACAGGTTTAAATGGCACCACAATCGATATCTCGCAAAGCACGCCACGCCACTGGTATTCATCGTTCGTTGTTTATTAAATTTCTTCAAGAAAACTATAGCTGGCATTTCGACGGTGAAAATCGGCAATCACATAACTCGTTTGCGGTGTCTGAAAATCTCCGCCTCTACGTCATTTTTTTAAAGGAGAACAAATTGATATTATTTATTGAGGTTTTTGCAGAATTTTCTTCGCATTGAGAAGA